AGAGAGGAAACCACCCCAGTGGACCTGTGCTGTCTGGAACTGTCAATGTGATGCTGCCATGGGTTCATCCTTCAGTGGGGGTCAGATATACTAAATGCAGGTGTAGGAGGAAAATAAGACAGAAAAGAAAATCCTTAGCATGAATTATACATACATATTGACAATAATGAAGATTGTGAGGGAATGAGGGACATGGAGGAACTGGGGGGAAAGAAAGTGTGGAGTGGAATTGATGTAAACACTAGTCATGTGTAAAATTCTCACAACAGTATTATAATAGAAAGCTTTAATAAAAAATCGATGCAACTTGCTTCTCATGAAAAACATTATTTTGGAGTTTGTCACCCAGATCTGTACATCCCACTGGGTGAATATTACTCTCATTCCTACTGGGCAATGAAAATAGAACCCAAAGAAATTTGAAGTCTTGTGGGATCATTACCTTTGAGAATCATACAGCAACCAGAAAAGGGCTGGTTCTGCACAGGGCTGGACAGAAATCAAGGTGAAGCCTGCTGTGAGAACGGCTGTTGACTTGCCTGGCACCTCCACTCTTTCTCTGGTAGCCACCTGCCCTGCTGTACACTGCAGGGAGCCCACCCGCTGCCTTTCCCCTGGCTTGCCCATGCCCGACTATTATTCTGTCTCTCTGTGACTGTGCACCTGCACCAACACCTCTGCTTCAGAACAGTGGTTCCTTCTCCCAAGAGTGTGAAGCACATCTGGATCAAAGAAACAAGGAAGCTCTGGCTTGTAACGTCACAGTGCCCCCTTGTGGTATGTGTCTGGAAAGAGTGAAGTGGGGAAGAAATAGAAGAAATTACCATCAGGAGTGTGTGTGCTTAGAAAAAAGTAAAAGGAGCAGAGAGAAGAGAGTGACAGAGGGGTTTACACCCACTTTGTCTGACCCTTTTTTTCTAGCCAAGGGGGTCAATAATTGGAGCTCTTCAAACTTGCTTTCCAGAAACATCCAGCTGAATTCACTGTCTTGAATAATTGCCTTCCCAGAAATTATTTGGATCCTGGCTATCCTTAATTTTGGCAATTTCTTGCAACCAAGGGTTAAGAAGAGAAACTTGCAATATGATGAGTGCAGCAAAGGAGACCCATTTCTTTGTGGAAGTATCTGGAGAAGGGGGTGCAGTTGGGCTTGGCTATGCAACAGCGTTCTCAGTAGGGAGGGCTTCCTTTCTCCACTTTCACCCAGGGTTTCCCTGAGTCTTTAGTTATTCAGCCACAATGTGTAAACAGACTTGGAGCTTTTCTCTACCAACTGCCTGGTTCCAAATAAACACACAGAAGCTTAATTGCTATATTAATTACTAAATGCTCAGTCAGATGTCCATACTTATATTAAGTAGTTCTTTTTTTTTTTTAAATTAACCCATATCTACTCACATGCCACATGGTCCATGGATTTACCATTATCTGACATATTGCTTCTTGGGCAGCTGGCTCATGTCTCTCTGGACTCTGCCCTTCTTCATCCCAATACCCAGTTGATTATCCTGCCTAATTTTATCCTTCCTTGCTATTGGCCTAATAGCTTTATTATTAACCAATGAGAGTAATATATATTCATAGCATACAGAAGGATCAATCCATGGCAACAATGCCCTTAGGATACAAAGGAGACAAGGCACATACCTCTGCCCTTACTGGAGGCCTGTGCTCCCAGGGTGATGCTGATGCTCTGTGGATGCTCATCATACTGGTACATCAAGCAGCTAAAGATGCTCCCATCCGATATGGCTTCTACCTGCAATGTGTGCTTTAGAGAGTATGTCCCATCAGAGTTTCTTGTGGCCTGAGAGAGCCCAGGAGTCAGGATGTTGTACCCATTCTTAGCCCAGGTGAGTTGCACGTTTTGGGGGTAGAAGTGGTTGACATGGCAAGTCAGGTTCACTCTTTGAGGAGCATGATCACGAATCTCTGGGGGCTCAGTGGTGATCTTCAGTTTGGGGGTAACTAGTCAGGAACAATAAATGAACAGAGATGAAATCTTGGTACTGTCTTATTTCCCTGTCCCAAGGTCTCTCAGTCATTTAGATAAGATTCGACTAACTTGTGGCAGGGTCCCAAGAATTCCAAGATGACCTTGAACTCACTAGATAGCCAGGGATGACCTTGAGGTCCTGATCCTTCTGCCTCCACTAAGCCATCCCTTCAGCCCTTATTTTCTTTTCTTGTAATCCGGCCAGTTGAATTTGTGCTGCCTATATATTCGTGGGTTTGGGACATTGGAGCATGCTTGACTTACCACGGCCACACCCTTGGGGAAACCTCACTCTCATTTCTTCAGAAACTATAACCTGTCAGGAGGTCCACAGCTAGAGGGCAAGGGTCCACGAGGACCTCCATTTCATGCTGGAATGTCAAGTGGTTTAATCTTGTGAGTTCACAAGTGAAGAGAGTCACAAGTTCACTCTCTTTTTAAATAAACAACTTTGTATATGTTTTATGTAAGACAAATAGGGACATGTAGATGTAACCAACTGTCTTATTAAATAAGAAACACAGAACCAATGCAAAGAAGAAAGCCAAGAGGTCAGAGCTAAGAGCTAAAACCTTACCCTTCCTCCTGCGGTGGTCCTACCTCTCCGAACCAGAGCTACTTCCTGTGTGTCTGTCTTTTTATAGTGTGTCTGTTCTGCCTTCTCATTGGTTGTAATCCCAACCACATGACCGCCTCGTCACGGCCTGTCTGTATAGACCTCCAGGTTTTCTATTGATTGGTATTGAGATTAAAGGCATGTGTATCCAATACTGGCTGTATCCCTGAACACACAGAGACTTACCTAACTCTGCCTACCAAGTGCTGGGACTACAAGTGTACGCCACCACTGCTCTGCTTTCCTATGGCTTGCTAATAGCTCTAACCCCCGGGCAACTTTATTTATTAACTTACAAATAACATTTGAATACAAATAAAATATCAACATAGGGACATGTATAAATGTTCATGAAATGTAGCTGGAAATACATAGGTATCTAATCTGGTAAGAGTTAAATATTCCATATCGTGACATCATGACATATAATTATAGGAGTTATTGAAGTTAATTGTACCACAAGATCATGGACTCTATAATCACAACGTCTACAAAAGTGCCTGGCACACAGTAGCTGTTCATTGTTTATTGAGTGAATAATATTTTAAACAATGCTAGAGATTTCCCAGAACTCCAGATCCTATGCATAGAAGACAAGTACTCCAAGACTGAAGTATGTCCTCAGCCCCATTTTTCACTTATTTTATTTGATTTCACTGAGTTGTCCAGGCTGGCTTTGATCTCAATTTTAACCCTGACAAGACTGGAACTAATTATATCCCTATCTGTTCCCCAAGGAGCTGAGGTTAGTTACATGCTGTATATCACAGGCTCCAGATAATAATAATATTTATAAAGTTTTAAACATTAGCAATGATATAAATAGGATAAATATGTTTAGAGAGCTATGCTAGGTCCATACAATAGCAAGTCAAACATTCTTAAACAACTTACAGTGTGTTAGGCATGCTTCTTGGTATTCTAGAAGAACCCTGGTTTAATCGTGAGAGGAAACTTAAAGAATAGGTGTTGCTTTTATTCCAAATTTTTAGAGAAACTGAGACACAGAATATTTAAGACACATGGCCAATATTAGGCAGCCTACCAAATGATGCAGGTAAGAACAAAGCCCAGCTGGCCCGACTGTGTAACCTGTACTTTTAATCCATATTCATGTGTTCAAGGCTGGCAGTGATCAATTTCTAATCCCCATTTGTAAAATGGGGCGTTTGGCCAAACCTCATGCTACCAGTGTGGCCCCACCACAATATATCAGTGATCACTCACCTAGGAGCACTTGAGAAAGATTGATGGTCATTTTTAGGGGCTCATCAATGTCTGCATGGGTGACTTCACAGGTGATCTGAGAAAAGATATCTTGTTTGGCCAATGTCACTGATGACTTGCTTGTGGCATAGTAAACGTCTTTGCTGATAGGCACCACTTGTGGGGCTGAAGCTGGATGTTTATTATTGTTCTTAAACCAGTTAACACTGAGGTTCTTGGAGCTGAAAAGGCCAGCAGTGCAGGTAAAAGTCACTGAATTTGAAGTGGCTGTCCTCTGTTCTGGGCCCTTTAGAGAGATGAAAGGCTTCCCAGCTTAAAAAACAAACAAACAAACAAACAAACAAACAAACAAATAAAAACCAGTTGTTACTACCTTCTCAGTATTGGAAAAACCAATATACAACAGTACGTGAACCTTACAAAGACCTGTCCCATTAATAATGAAAACTGTCCTTTCTCCTGAGGTCATTCTTTCAGAGATTTAGAGAAATGGCTCACTCAAGTCAAAATGCAGTGGCCTGCCCCCATGCTCAACAGAGAAGATACTACCCATGATACCTGACTTTGAGGAGAAAGCAAATTGGCCATAATGAGCAAACAGCAAATAAAATATGACTACTATGGGGGAATGAACATCCTCAGGAAACTCAACATGTGCAGAGATAGAAAAATGAGGAGCCATTCTAAAAGTGTGGTCAAAAGGGACATTTTGAGCTAAAACAAAAAATCTGTGTATAGTCGTGGTGCATGAAGTTAATCCTTGCACCCAGGAGGCAGAGGCAGGCAGATCTTTGTGAGTCCAAGGCCAGCCTGGTCTACAGAGAGTGTAGGATAGCCAGGACTGTTACACAGAGAAATCCTGTCTCAAAAAACCAACAAAAGAAAACAAAAATAGGACAACTGAGGAATGAATAAAATCCCTCTGTGGAAGAGGACACAGTAATGTCATATGGACCTGAGGAGAGAGAGTGCACATGCTTGGGCACATGCCAAAGAAATCGACCATATAACTCAGCTGTAATGCTCTTTGGCTGCCTGAGGCAGCAAGACTTTAGGAGGCTTAAGAAAACAGGTCTACTACAAGACTGCAACATTGCTATCCACATGTGCAGACCTAATTCTGTAGCTTGCGCAGTCTTTTACTCCTGGGTTTCTTTGATTCACATCTACCCCTGCACTGTGCCCATTCTCACAGGCTTAGTTCTGGACATGCAGCCTGTGCCTCACCTTTGCAGACTCAGTTCCCCACATCCGCCACACCGAACACTAGCTCCAGGAACACACCCCACATGCCCTTTCTGTCTAGGGCATCCTCTGACCCCCACCTGTCCTGTAGTATGTCTACACTCACAGGCATGTGTCTGGATACTTACCTCACATTCAGCCATTGCATACTGAGTTCCCCCGACCCACACCAACCCTGCATCCTCTCCACATTCCCAACCCTAATTCTACATGAGCTGATCATACACCAGATATTCCCAGCCTGCCTCCATTTATTCAGTCCCTGCACTGACCCAATCTAATGCAACCTAGAATCTCACAACAGACACACACAACCTAAGAAACAAGTCCGCATGCCAAGGATACATCACAAAAACACGTAAAAATATGAAAGGACAAGAAAGTATGCCCCTCTCTCCAAACCCACCAGCCCCACATAAATGTTCTCCAGGGTGAATCACATAGTTGAATCCCAGAACACAGAACTTAAAAGAACAATCACAAACTTTATCAAATAAATCATGAAACTCAAGGAAGACACAAAACCACATCTCAATGAATTTGAAGAGGAAAAGAATAAATGCACAAGAAAATATCTGTAGCTGAATGAAATGAGGAAAAAACCCAGAAATCAGTATAGAAATATTGAAGAGAACTCAGACTGTAGCAAAGATAGAATTGAATAATAAATAACACAACTAGAAAACTCGGGGAAAGCCTTACAAATAGGATGGATCAAGTAGAAGATAAAAAAATATCATGTCTTGGAGGTAAAGTAGAACAATTAAAACACTCAATCAAATAATAATTATAAAAATTTAAAGCATATAAAAGGAACATTCAGAAACTATGGAACAACATAAAAAAACCAAATTTTTTAATCATGGAAACAGATGAAGGAGAAGAATCCAAGTCAATGGCTAAGACCACATCTTTAACAAGATCATAAGAGAAAACATCCCCAAACTCAGGGAAGGCACAACCACATAGATACAAGAACACACAGTCCAACAAATAGACAAGACCAGAAACCAAACTCCCCATGTGTGTTATAGTTAAAACATTAAATATACTGAACAAAGAGAGGGCACAAAAAGCATGAAGAGAAACATTCCTGACTCGCGTATGAAGGAAACCCCATCATATTAACTGCTCATTTCTCAGTGGAATTTAAAATTCAAAAGCCTGGAGCAATGCTCTTCAGCTTCTAAAGGACCACAAATGCCAATCTAGATTGGCATCTGTACCCAGAAAAATCTACCTGCAGTGGAAAGAAAGCCTCTCCATCATGAAGCAAGCTAAAATAATTCATGTCCATGAAAACAGCCCCGGAGAACACTGGGAGCAAGACTTCAACAGAAGAAAGAAATAAGCACCACCATGCGACTCTAGAGAGAGGACAAATGACCCCACAATTACCCCCTACCACGACCAGAACAGCTAAGATCAGGAAAAGAACTGACAACAAAGGCAGGTGAGGCGTGGGGAAAGGGAAACCCTCAGTCACTGGTGATGGAAATGCAAACTGTTCCTGTTCCTCAAAATCAGTGGAGAAAAGAACCCTGTGGGGGAATTCTCAAGAAGCTAAAAATAAATCTGCTCTATGACCAGCTCTACCGCTCTTTGGCATGTGCCCAAAGGATTCAACACCCTACCCCACAGATGCGTGCTCAACCAAGCTCAGTTTTGCTCTAGTCCCATAGTGAGGAGCTGAGAACAACCGAAAGTTGGGAGCACATTCCATCCGAGGATGTTTCATTCAGCCTCAGGCAGCCAGGCCTGTGACAAAGCACTCACCCCTAACATAGGGTCTCTGCCCTGGAGTAAGAAAGGTTGCCCTTCTCCTGGGGACAGTGGTTTACTTGTCATGCTGTGTGCCCCCCTACTGTGCTCAGACTGTGAGTTATATTCTAGGGTCCCAGCGACAAGAACCCTCCTTTCAGAGTCAAGTGGCAAGAGGAAGACAAGCAGTCCTGCAGTGACACAGGAAGACATGGTAGAGAGCTGTCCTGGGCCTGATGCCTTCTCCGTGGCACCTGAGGGGTTAGAAATCACGGCCAGGTACAGGGGCTCATTTCACCCACAACCCAACTCTGGAGGAGAGGATTGTTGCCTCTGCTTCCTGGGGGAGCAGAGACTCAGAGAGCTTTAGGAACTTGCTCCAAGTCACATAGTCTGTCAGTGACTGAGGAAGGTTTAGCAGGTTCGCCTGACATTGGATCCAGGACTCATTACTTGGTT